TATTCGAAAAATCAAACTATCTCTATTTAGGTCATTTAAGTTTGCAACCTACTTATAAATCTTGTATAATTTTCCCCTCGTCTCGCCTTTTCAGGGCAGCATATGGATTCATCTTGGGCGATACGCCTTCGGCTGCAGTCATCCCAGGTATGGATGGGTACACAAGTAAACTGTACGGTAAAAGCAGGCCCACTGTTTTCCAAGCAAAGAATTTCAAACCGGAAGAGGACGCCGCGAAATTGAGAAAGGCGATGAAAGGTTTAGGTAAGTGTCCGGCTGAATTATATGCAAGAGACAAGTTATATACAACAATTTAGTTGTCCCAGTTTTGCAGTTCATGCTTGAACCCATATTGTAGGGTTTGCAGAGGAAAAAGTCCTATTTTAACGACCAGTCTTAATTCGGGACAGCAATTCGGATCCTAATCAAGAATTCTTTCGTGCTGGATGTGCTTTGGACACAGATTCAGTCTTTAGACAAAGGAATCGTGAAAAAAATTAATTTGAGAGTTAGAAAAAATATAGAATTATTGAAATCATGTGAAAATGTCGCCAAGGTGGACTCTAATTAAGCCTGATACAGAAAGATTTCGGGTGATCATGAGAAAGGAGAAAAAATAGTACAGAATTCCTGTTTTAATTCAAATTTGCAAATGCCAAAAGAAGTATTTCTCTGGGGAATGCCCATAGGTTATTTGTATCATGTACTATGCTTTCTGCTTAAAATGCAGACATATATTAAAAACTTAATCGAAAAATGCGAAAGGATAGTATTAGATGTGTTCACCCTAGTTCGTGTGAAGTGGTGAAGGACTGGTAGTTGAATGTTACCACAATGAAATGAGCAGACCTCGTCTTTCCACCGATTTTCACTTACCCTTGCTTTCCCAAAAGCTGTTCTCATCCAAGATGTGAATTTCAAGGAAGGCCAGGCCTTATCCCATATCGCATTATTTGGTGGTATTATCGATGAAGCAAACGTATTTTTGCTATTACAATCGACTATACTACTTATTTTTCGTATATAAGCAGACTTTTTATACTAACAGGTTGAAAATAACTCATCAATTTGATTTACTGATGGCCTCGAAAACTTACTTACTTATGAATATATGAAGACCAAGATGTTGTGGCCTCTGGTGTGGTCGCAGTCTCCCTGAAAACAAGACCAAGTTGCGACAACGAGGTCAACCCACTTTTACTTACTTATGCTTCGAAAATCTACCTTCATAGTAATAGTAACGCTAGCAACACTAATAGTAACAGCACCATTAATACTTATACTACTACAACTAATAATAATAATAATAATAATAATAATAATAATGATAATAATAATAATTGTTGTTGCTATTTTTATTGTGTCAGCGTTTATGTCTATTTCGTGATGAACAAGTTTCTGCTACTCATACAGCATATTATGCACTAGAGATTGCTTTGACTTGCATTGGACTTGAATCTCTCTCCTGACAATATTTTCACTGCAAGCGTGAAGAACTTCTTAAGCTTGTATCGGCGCATCTGTCTGGCAGAAGGCGGTGTTCAGACTTCATGGCTCTTCGAATATATCGAACTACCTTTAATGCTGGCTGGGTAAAAGAGATGCCCCTTCAGCCCCATTCTGTTTATGATCTTGTAGGTTTAACAGGTTTGAGGCAAAGTTTGCAAGGCCCTTCGGATAGAATGCCAATTAGGGACTGAATCCCTTTACATCGACTGCGGGAGCCTTTTGTGCAGGGGCGACGCCGACTTCGGCTTTTATGGGATTTCTAGTAGAGAGCCCATGTGGATGCGCCTTGAACCAGACGATAACAAGTGTTGATACTAACTCAGCCGCATTGCGATCCACCACGTTCGTAGAGTCTTGCGTTGCGCTATTTGAACTGTCCCCCAAGACCTGTGGAATGAAAAGTTTGGCACTGGGTGTTGTGTTTCAGACAGACTTCATTTTAAGACTTTTATATATGTCGGAAACCGAGTACCAATCAGGTTAATTAATCGCAAATGCAATAGTTTTCACAAAATTTCTTTCAACAGACTTCGAATTTGACGGGCAGATGAACCAGAGTCGGTAGGATTGCAGTCATCCCCCCTGATCCAGATCTTCCAGACGTCGAGCCCCGATCCAAAAGCAAGACATCCTCTGACGCCAATCGGAAATCGACTATCATTTCCCTCAAGTCGTGTGATGAGAAGAGCCTCTGGTTGGCTTTGACATCATCGAGGTTTCATCTTATCAACAAATATTCGCCATGCCACATGCCCTGGCAACATTTTCACCATGTCAGACTTTTTTCGCTACACAAACGTGCACCTACAAATGCACGAACAATCGATCTGGGGTGGTCTGGGTGTTTGGCTTTTCGGCAAATGGAGAGATTCTAACTGCATTCTGCGAATATTTATTAGCCTGATCTACAGACGTCCCGACTCTGTGAAAACTTCCTTTTTTGTAAAGTTTTCTTGCACCTCGATAAATGATATTGTTTTTTGAGTTGTCCTATTGCCAATGCCAGCTTATTTTGTTTGTATTTGATACTTTAGATTTTATTGCTAAATGCACCATACTGACAAAACAATATAGATCCAAGACATACAATTTTTATTCTTCTACATTCACCATTTTACGGTTATCCCTTATGCACAGGTACCGATGAGGCCACTATAATCGGCGTTTTGGGCCAACGAACAAGCGAACAACGCCAACTTATTGCCAAGGCGTTTAAGTCCTGCTATGGCCGAGTA